ATCCTACAACAAAAGTTTATACAATATTCTCAAATTTAATAAATTTTATAATAAATAGTATTATATTAGACTTTTTAGAATCCTAATATTCTTTTGCATGTTTCAATTACTAATTAATTATTACCGTGATAAAGAAAGTCTCAGTTGTTCGATAATATAAATGAATAATTTAAACAAATTGAACAGTAAAATTGTAGGTAATATTTTATCAAAATAAAATTTGAATATAAAATCGTACATAAAAATGTATTTATTATTTGCAGAGTGTCCGCGGACTTATAAATGTATTGTTAAAGAAAGAATGCCTAAGCATCAAGCAGAGCTCTTGCGTTCTCCTTCATGTCCGTCACTTCTCGACAGTGCTGGCCTCTCAAACAGCCTATATATACCCGTATTCGCTCTTCCACTCCTCTCGAGCGACTCGACTAATCACAACCGATGCCGTTATTTCAATCCCTACCACGAAGATCACGGTCATATCTACTGATAGAAGTGGAGAACCACGTGGAGGCATTGACATACTGACCTTGATACGTGTGAAACATTGAGGGGGAACTCGGTAGACCAATCGCAGCGACAATCCGCTTTCCTACCTTGCTCCCGACACAGTAACCTCATTTCCTTCCTCTTCCTAGTTCCCCACCTTGATCCGGTCTTTCTCCACTTCTCCCACCCGCGCAACATCATTCTATCTTCTCTCCGTCCATGAACCTCCATCTAGGTCATTAGTCTTCTCGTCTGACCAACAGAGTAACCTGCTTACGGCTATAAATTTATATGTATGTGTGTATATATATCTCTCTTTTTCGATATTTATTTATTTACAAATTGTAAAATTCTTGTCGCAAATAATCCTTATTATTGATGTCTTCAGGATAACACATGTGTATTTAGGTCGAGCCTTAATAAGATATGACAGATTTGAGCTTGGCAATTTATGTCGCATTGATATAACGATATGACGTTTCTGATAGTACGTCAATGTCATAATGACACAAAGTATCCAATAATTTTCGATATCACACAATGATCAAGACAAAATTTTATTAAAAAATAATTTATTTTATTTTACAAAGCGAGCATGCGCAGCTACGCAATAAATAGATAAATGAATAAATAAATAAATAGTTATGATGACAAAGGAAACATTGCATTTTATGGAATGTCATGCTATGGATAATGTTCGCCATTGTATTCCGGTGCCCAGCCTCTGTAAGGTTGATTGACCTCTTCTTCTGACCTGTGCCAGTGATCGTGATGAATTTCGTGCGGCCTTACAATTCCGTAGGAGACTCTGGCTGGTGGAGGTGGTGTGACAAGGGCCTTCAAAGCTACTGCGCCAGAAATCAAGAGCGACATAAGGCCCGCGCCTAAGCCCTTCAAACCTATCAGAGCGATCATGCTAATTACGATAGGTAGAACGATTATTGCTTTTAGCTTCAGCAGAATCAAAAGTGGCATAATCATCCTCTTCAATTTTGTGCGTGCTGTAAACATATACAATTATCTTGTAAGTAACAGCATTCCTTGAAATGTTTAGTTGATGTATATATGTATATCTATAATAGTGCTTAACAAAAGGAAATATGTATAAAACACTATTTAGG